TCTCATTGGCTGAGCTTCAATCTCATACTTAATCTCAATCTTAATTTCAATCTCCAATGCGTAGTCTGATACCGGCTTAAGGCCCCTTCTACAATACGTCGTATGTCGAGTCATAAGCCGTAAGTCGCAAGAATTGACCAATTACAATCGAATATTTTTCTTAGGGGCTTTCTACAATAAGCCGTTAGTCATTACTCATATCATACTAACTAAGAATGGATCAATCATAGTCGAATATTTTTCTTACATTTAACTGTGATTGGTCAATTCTTATGATTTATGGCTTACGATCTGACATATGACATGTAGAACGGGTCTAAAAGGTTGCGACCATAGAACTTATAGTATGTACATGGAAGGGGACTACTCATAAGTTGAACAGAGAGATCCACGTCCGATATATATCTCTCTCTTGCTAAGTTGATTTTCGCAATTACGCATGCGCGGCTTACGTGCGCACCTTTTTATTTCTGTAGCGGGAAACAATGCGCTTGATTTTTAAAAATCAACTAAGTGAGAGAGAAAAATATAGATTCTCTTTCTCACTTCCATTAGACACTATTCGGTTCCCCATTCCCCTTCCATGTACTGTAAGTTCTATGGTGCGACACTTTTTTTTCTTGATGGATTTCGGAACGCTCAAATATTACATGGATCCTCGCCCTCTACTGGCAGTACTGGCCCTCACTTTTTTGCGGCTTGTCGGCACCGCATGGTCTTGTGTTCCATTTCGATTCTGCTACAGATTATCTGTAAATTAATTATGGCTGAGATCAAAGAACGTACCTTTATCATGGTTAAACCAGACGGCGTGCAACGTGGTCTGGTCGGCAAGATTATTCAACGATTTGAAGAGAAGGGTTTCAAACTAGTGGCTTTGAAGATGTTATGGGTAAGTATAATTTCATTATGTACGCATAATTTCATTATGCTCTTGTGTGCTAACTTCAATCAAGTACTCACGAATACACCACGCGATTTATTGAGATTATATCTTGGATGATTTAAGTGATTTAAGTGATATACTGGCTGTATGATTCAGAATTAAAGTTATTAATTTTATTTCTTGCTTTGAATGTTTTATTGTACTGGTAATTCAGAATATTTCAGAACCGAAATGCCGAGTAATGGCGACTCATTCAAATCTAGCATCTGTAGATATATTCAAATTGAATTATTCAGCTAATACCAACAATACTAACAGAATTATCTTTTTAGTGTATACAGCATTTAATACTATAATATTCAATATAGATATACAATGACATATAGCAAATCTAATCAGAACTGGAAATAGCAATGACTTTGAAGGTCAAAAAGTTTTATGATAATTAAAGCTTGTAACTGATGAATGTAATATGATCTCCAAATAAGTGTTTCAAAGTTAGGCATCTATTGTACAATTAAAAATATGCAAGTTTAATAAACAATAAGATGAGACAATTAAATACATATGATATATATATATATATATATATATATATATATATAGAATATAATTTTTTTTAAAAATGCGATTAAATTTTTAATATTCTTGTTTAAAAAACATCTATTTTTCTAATTTATTCTGTTTTTGTTACAGCCTTCTGAAGATCTCTTAAAGAAACATTATGCCGATTTGGCATCGAGACCCTTCTTCCCAGGTTTGGTCAAATATATGAGCTCAGGACCAGTTGTACCAATGGTGAGTTTTTTTACACAAATAATTGTAAATATTGCTGTTGTAATCTTAGAATATATATTACTGGAAGGAGAATAGGGCTGCATTCAGAAACTTTGCTTAGGTGCATTTAGATATTATTTTATCCTTGTTTAACATTCGGTGAATAACAAGGCTAACATGATATACCATGAATTTCTGAATGTAGCCTAGAATGCTGAACGTGAAGCCAACATCTGTGCGAGAGAGAAAGGTATAGATTCCGAATTGTCTGTAATGCGCATGTGCCATTCAGCCCCCATTCAGCCCATTTTGCCTAATTTCTTATTTTTCGAAAATCTTTAAAAAAAAAATGAAAAACGGGGCTAAGTGGGGGACTGAATGGCATATGCGCATTACAGACAATTGGGAATCTATACCTTTTTCTCTTGCACAGATGTTGGCTTCAGCTAGATGCATGGACGGTATAGACAATTCTCCTTCCAGTAATATATGTATGCTCTAAGGTTGTAATAAATTTTACGTTATATTAATATTAAACTTAAAGTTATATCAATAATATTCAAATATGTCAGTAATAATGTCAAAATAATGTTAATTAAATTGTGATTGAAGTAACTTTTAATAATCATTTTAGAGCTATTTTGATGGTATTTTGATGCCATGATAGTGTATTGTTCTGTTTTGATTTTGACTGGAACTAAATATCAATAATATAGATGGAAAAATTTAGTAATGTTTACATTAATATGTATTTATGAAATCACTTTTAGGTTTGGGAAGGCTTGAATGTTGTAAAAACTGGTCGTGTAATGTTGGGCGAAACAAATCCTAAGGATTCTGCACCAGGCACAATTCGTGGCGATCTTTGCATACAAGTAGGACGCAATATTATCCACGGCTCTGATTCTGTTGAGTCAGCCAAAAAAGAGATTAGCCTTTGGTTTGGCGAGAAGGAAGTGATCGACTGGACGCATGCATCTGAGAAATGGATCTATGAATAAGAATCTATGATGAGAACTGATTTTCTCAGAGGTTTCACTACCGTTTCTCTGCAAGCATTTTCTTAGAGGGTCTTCTCAAGTTTACTGTTAACATGCAAACAAATCGTTTAAACAAAGCTGAGATTGAAGAAAAAACATTTTCTGACATTTGTATGGAATAAATAAAATGTATAATTCATCGAAAATTTTGAAATATTAAATTGTGGCTATAAGATAGCAAGAGATGAGTTATTGAATAACTCATGGAAATCCATATATAATTTACTGAAATACAAAAGATATTTTAATAAAATTATAAAAGAAAAACAGTTTTTAACAAAATTAAAAGGTTAATTAATTTAAATTACAAATCTTTTAAAAACAAATCTTAAGGCGATGCTGACAGAACGAAATTACCAACATATTGCAGTCATAGAGATTTCTCCGAAAATACAGAACGGAATTGAAAATCCTTTCACAGGATTGAAATAGACTTAAAATGTATTTCCGGGACATAGGAATTTGTAGAAAAACGAATAAAAATTAAAAAATTACATTTTTTCGTACAGTTGTCATTTGTTGTAAACATTTTATTAGTGTAAAAGTTGTGTAGCTTATACGTATGTACAAAATCAGGAATCTGGTTACATGAATAATAAAAAGCTTTTTGAGATTGAAAGTCTAGGAAAAAAAATCCCTGTGACTGCAATTTATGATAATTCGTATATGCTTAACTACAAGATAAAATGATAAACAGCAAAAATTACGTCTAACAGTAAGTGTCAAATTTTGCAAGAGATGGCGTTTTAATATGTTAGATAAGAATAATGTATACTTATATATACAATTACGTGTTTGAGACAGAACAATATTGTAAGAAGTTCATTTACAGATACCACTGAAATTGAAAAGCTGTTTTATCGACTTCGTGCATGTTTGGAAAAACTTGCCAGCATCACCTAAGAGGACGCTAAAGCCGTCTGTTTTATCGATAAAAATACCATTTTTATCGGATACAAAATACTTTGTATTAATCGCATAGAATAAAATTTCCTTTTCCACAATTAAAACACACATGCTAATGCATCTGGCTCTGGTGTGTTTTGTACCAAAAACAGGAAAAAATTAAGAAATTATAGATTTCGTTATCCATTTTAACCTTAACATGGCGACTAATAC